TTATAACTAATAATTTATTAAAAAATAATTGCAACATACGAAAGTAAAATTAGATGTGACAAAAAAATATATACAATGATTTAATTAACTTCCAATGCTTCGGCTTCAAGTTCATGAGAGGAATTTTCATCCACATGCATCTGTTCGTGCTCTTCGGCTGCCTCTTTTTGTTTCTGTCTTTCCTTGAGGCCAGCAGCAGGCAAGCGAACAAGAGACAAATCACGTTGCACCTCCTTAACATCTCTCTCCTGTTCCAGTTCTCTTCCCTTGCGTAATCGCTGCATGATATGTAGATTTTGTCGCTTTTGCTTGATAACTTCTACTTTCTTCATTGCTTCTATAGTCTTCGCCCATAGTTCTCTGTTATATTTAAGAGGTATATTTCTCGTCTTTTCAAACTCAAACGATGGATCCACTGCCAATTCTTTTCCAACGGTCTTTCTATAGACTTTGGTCCACTTGACTTTTCTGGGATTCTTTTTCTTTTTGAATGCAGCATGGCATTTTGATCGACAAAACTTGAATATCTATAACATTGATTACAAAGTGCAATACATTATTTCGATGAATAAAAATAATCGCCATAAATTATAATTAACTTTGTGATTTTAATAAATAAAAAAATGATAATTTGCTCAAAGGAATCTAATTTTTCTATGAAATCTAAGAGGTTAATTACAACAAATGGTTTATAATCTTTGGCTCAGATTCCTATGAATCCTATGAATCCTATTTTATCAATAAAAACACTTCTAAAAATGACTTTTAATCATTACGATCGAACCTTTCTTAGAGGCATTTTTAACGATAAAAGAGGATTCAGAATATGGGCTTATATATATTGGGCATAGTGTTATGAGACACATAACCTTACTTTTACCCTACACATGCTATACATACATAAAAAAAACTTATTCTACGAACTTATCATTTATATTTCTTAATATTAAATTAAGTATTGTTGTTACCTTACAATCGTTCCTCACGAATTGTATTCCATGTCCCGGATATATCCGGGACGAGCAGAAATAACACGTCTCTATACGCATGTTGCGAGAAGTTGGGAGAGATTTTGGTATGCGTACGATGAGCACGTGGTTTATCACAATATTCTTGAATGAACGAATAGATGGAGGTACAGGATCGTTATCGATAGACTAAATAAAATTGTGTATAAATTCATACGTGAATTTTCACATGAGTTAATAGAGTTAGTAAAATCAAGTTACGGGTATTACGAATATTTAGATTAAGATAATTAACGTATAAAAAACGTATAAAAAAAGAAAGAAATATTGCCTTGATAATCAAACGTTTTCAGCATTTGATAATAACGATCACCACAATAAGAAATGGAGACATGATTGAAGGAAATGAAAACTAATTAGACTTTATCCAAATTTTTGCTAAAACGATAATACACATATTTTATATGTAAAAGAAAATTAGTAAAAGATAAAAATGATAAAAATGATTTAAAGATATTGTTTTTATTTATAGAGTTTAAGTAAAGTAGAATACATCTCTACAATTTAAAAAAAAAATGAAATAATAATTCCATTTTTTTTTAATTTCCGTGGATTACAAATTTTCTAATTTTCTAATTCCAAATAAATAATCATTATATATATTTTGTATAAAGTGACATCTAGAGATCTACAGATCTTCCCTTTTTTCATATTCAATATTCGCTAGAAGTTCTTTTGAAATGTAATTCTTAGTAGAACTAGATCTCTGCGTATTATATAAAAATTCTAAAAATAAAATACAAATTGCAGACATTTGTTACCATCATAAAACACAAGCCTTTTAAAATAAATTGCATTTATATATTTAATGAGTTAAAAAAGTTTGTATCTTTTTTTTTATATTTATGCCCGATTCCATCAACGTAGATTTACTTAAATCTCGATTTAACTTGCTTTTCATCTTTTTCTAATTTTTAGAACTAGAAAAAGATGAAGAATAAGTTGAACCGAGATTAAAGTTAATCTACGTTGATGAAATCGGGTATTAATAAGTTAAGTTAATAAGGAAGATAGTTAGAAAGATTGAACAAATAAGTAGCTTAAAATAAAATAAACATATCAAGTACGTTTCTAACAAACAAAGTACTAACGCAAATTTAATATAGATCGCTAATGTTACTGTCTCGTAGGCTATTAAAAAGTTTTGCCCCGCGCGCGCGATATGAACTGATTTACTAAAAGAATATTAATAAGACAATTAAAATTATAAATTACACAGGAGCAATATTTAAATATATCAATCCGACGATATGTCAACGGGTTTTAGCCGATATAACAATTATGTATTCCTGACGCCGCGCTACCAGTCGTTGTCGTTGTCGCTTCGTCGGTGCGACTTATAGACTAGTATCGATTACAAACGAAGAGCTACTAATTTAATATCGAGATCGAACGCGTAGTCGCTGCAGTTCCGCGTTGTCTTGGCACGTTGTCTCAGTGTTATTGTGCGACGTCCCAACAGCTGGACGTCCCGTGATTTCTCCCGCGATTTTCGAGAGGAGGCATGTGGGCCCACGTATCGATCTCGATCGTCGTCCTACTGGCGTCGTTGCTCTATCATTATCACTTCAGCGAGCCGGCAAGTGTTATCACTTACCCCGAGACGCATTACGACTATGTCGTCGGTGAGTTCGCTTCCTGAGTTCGCGAGTGTCAGATCGCCGCCACTTTCGTCTCGTCGTTTCCTCCTCCGCTTTTGAGTGCTCCGTGATACGCAGCATCGATTTTTAATCAAAGCGGATTGGCGCAAATCACATTGCACTAGATTTCTAGATGCTAGATACTTCAGAAATAAATCGTCCTAGTTTGATCAGAATAAAATATCAAAATTACGATATGATTCTCTTCTATGTGAGAAAAATGATTTTGCAACCATAGTGAAATTATTTACATATGAAAAATTAGTTAAAATAAATAAGTAACTAGCAAGTACTGTGTATCACATATGTTTTGTATCTAATCAAAATAGGTGATGAAGATAGAATTTATATTTGAATAATTTGTCAATTTAGCAAGAAAATCTCTCTGTGCCCAATCAAACAATAGCCTCACTCACACTTCTTGTAAAACTGACTGTGTGATTTATTTATGAGATCTAAATTTTCTATATTGTCATCTTAGATGTTGCTGCTATAAATTCTACGTGCGACAATTTTCTGGCAGCAATTTTATAAAAAATAGCGATGCATTTTAACTGTTGACATTTAAAATTCTAACGACCAGCGAATCATTTTTTGAGGGTATTCTTTATAAACAAAACTTGAGATATAAAATTGCCAATTGCGTTTACCTTCTAGAAATGCTTGTTTTCTATTTCTGAATTAAAAGTGCAAACCTGCAAAATTTAATTTAAAATAAACCGTAATATCGTTAACATCTTTCTTAATCCATGGATGATTGTGAAAAAAAGAAAACTGTTTTACGAGTTTTGCACACGTGAGCTAAAGTAAAAATGGCGTTTCTCGTTTCCTGGGTTCAAGTCGGCGCTGGTACGTCTGGATGCGTGATTGCATCACGGCTCTCGGAAATGTCGAACGTGACCGTTTTGCTCGTGGAGGCCGGCGGATACTTCGGATGGCTATCGACTGTGCCGCTCTTAGCACCGATGATGCAAGGCACCGAGGTCGATTGGGCCTATCAAACGGAACCGCAAGTCTTCTCGTCCCGAGGGCTACACGGCTATGTAATTAAAGTTCTATCTTTCGACGAAAAAAATCTTCGTTCCGCGCGAAGGAACGCGGGAACGATTTCCGTAAAAATTTTCTGCGTAAAATATAAAAAGTATAAAAATGTGGCACGAAAATTTTACGCGTTGATGAATAACTATAATTTGTTAATCTAAAAAACTATCGCCACGTCTCATTATTATTATTATTTTTTTTTTTCATGTAATAAAACGAACACTTTGAATATTCCCAATGTATTTTGTCATGGCGTATTTTTGGTAAATCTTTTCATTAGTCGCGTTTATTTAGAGACAAAAAGTGCCAAGAGGAAAAGGACTTGGAGGAAGTGGACAGATTAATTATCTTGTTCACTCCTTTGGGAGGCCCGAGGATTACAAGAGATGGCCGAAAGGTTGGTCACACGCCGACTTGCTCCCCTATTTTCAAAAAGTGTCCGATATTATGAACGTTATCCCGATGCCGGAGGAAGAGTATTTAACAAAGGCCTTCGTCCTGGCTGAGGAATCATTAAAGCTGGATAACGTGTCCTTGCGGAAAGCGATGTACACCGCGAAAAAAGGAACCAGATGGAGTACTTATCATGCGTATTTGCGGAAAGCTTGGAATCGCAAGAATTTACATATCCTGATGGATACGCTTGTCGCCAAGGTCTTCATAATTTTTATTATATTTTATATATCACTTTTCGAAAAACCTTTTGTTTTTTTTTCAAAAATAGACTTCGCTCATTTTATACTAAGAAGTAATCGTTGAACGTATATTGGAAAATTTACGTTAAAAAATAATGTTTATAATGTTTATAATTTTTAATTCCTTAATTGTTTCATATAGATATATGATTAGATGTAGATAATTTTTGTATTTTTGATTTTCAATATTTTGTAGATACTTTTTAAAAATAGCAAAGTCGACGGTGTTAAAGTGATATATAAAAACGGCTCTGTCGGGAGAATCGGTGTAAGGAAGGAGGTAATCCTTTGTATGGGCACTTTCAATACCCCGCAATTACTTTTGATTTCCGGCATAGGTCCCGCCAACGAATTAAAGAAACACAAGGTGGTAAATTAAAATGTCACCGTCAAACTTTTCGAGTTTTGAGTAAAATGATAAGATTTGATCTATAGATACCAATGGTGCAAGATCTTCCGGGGGTAGGCCGGAATCTGTTCGACCACATGAACATACCTATTTACGTGAATCTACGAGAGCGAGTCAGTATCACGCTTGTGAAGCTGCAAACTGTACCCGAGGTGTTCAATTATTTTGCCTTTGGAACCGGTAAATGCGATAACGATGACAACGCAATCTTACTTTATTTGCCATGTCTGTATACACATTTCGTGCGATCGGCGTTGTAATCTTGTTGTATACCTTTTTCTCTTCATTGCATGTCAAAGGATGGTTGGCCACTAACGGCGTAATGGGATTGGGGCGTGCTAATAACAGTGGCCTTCTCCTCTTCGGAGTGGCGTCCGCGGAGGAAAAATTGCTGAAGGTCATCTCAAATTTCGAGACCGAGGTGAATGAACCAGCCAGCAGTTATATATTTGGACTCTAACTAAAATAACGTATCGTAGCCGCGTTGCTTTTTCCGCGTCATTATAATGTTCGTAGCGATGATTATTCAATGATCATTTATGATTCGATTTAGAAGAATTAATATTCATTCGTTAGACGTATAGGTCGCTATTTCCGTCGTATAACGACAGCATGCACGAGGGATTTATCTATCTCGTGTCGTGTCTGCAACCCAAGAGTCGTGGAAGCGTAACGTTAAGATCGAGCAACATCTACGACTCGCCAAAAATTAACCCCGCGTATCTCCAGGATCCCGATGACGTCACGTGCACTCATCGAGGTAAACGTGATGATTCCATATGCCGAAGAAACTTTCATTGAGAGAATAAATAATTAAAAATAATAATTAATTTTTTAACGATTTTGTTTTCCGCTTAAAGCTATAAACTTGGCGCTGGAGACTCTTAACACGAAACTCTTTCGCGAATACGGCGCGAAAGTTCACGTTCCCGATTTCGAGGAGTGTCGTCATTTGCGACAGGATTATCGGGATGTCGATTATTCGGAGTGCGTCATGAGAATGGCAGGACTCACGAGCCATCATCCATGTGGCACATGCAAGATAAGCACGGATGACGACGCGGTTGTGAATGAAGAATTAAGGTAAACGGTGGAGTAATTTTAGTTTATATAGAATATTTCGTGGGGTTGAGTAGAGTAATTGTAACAACTTCATTGTCTAAAAAGGGTAAAAGGCGTGAGTGGATTGAGAATAATGGATGCCAGCGTAGTGCCGTCTCCAATTTCTGGCACGCCGAACTCGATTCTTATCGCGATGGCTGAACGTGCGTCCGATATAATTTTAAATCGAGCGTTTAATTAAGATACGATTAATTTATTGCATGTAACATAAATAAATATGATTAAAAAGAATAATTATTTTACGGTTTGTTTATAATTATCTATAGGAAAGAAGAAGAGTTCGGAAATGAAAAAAAAAATCCATGGTGCTCCAAGTTTTTTGTAATTTATAATTAATGGTAAAGTTTTCTTTTGTTTTACAGTAATTGAACAGTTATTAATAATCTAATTAAATTTCGATTAATTTTTATACAAACAAAAAGGGTGAGTTACACTCAACGGCATAGCCACGAATCCCTGCCACCCTGTCCGCGCTCGGAGTATAAAGAAGAAAAAAAAAAGAAACTTATATTTTTTTTTTTTACACGCTCCCTCTTCGAAGAATTTCTTTCACCCCAGTTCCCGTCCGGGATCATTTTGCGATGGCAGAGTTTCGGCATTCTTCCCATTCCTTCCACTTCCGCGTCTTGCCTCTCTTTCACGCATCCGCAAACACACACATACACACACGCACGCACGCACACACGCACGCACGTATACATACGTTCTTTTCTTCGTGTTCTTTTTTTTTTTATCGATTTTCCTTTTTGTCTCGTCTCATACAAATTCATATTTATTTCTCCTCACGTTGATCACTTTTCTCATCTCTAATTTGTTCCCTTCCTCGCAGACATTCTCGCACACTTACACGCACGCACGTACTTGTGTCGCCTCTTATAAATAAAATAGTTCGTAATAACCCGCGAAGTGTCGTCTCGTATTCTCGTAAACGCAACTATGCCCATGCGCCCTTCGCTCGTGCCCGATTTCGGCGCTTCGCATTCCCTCCCTCCCCCCCTCCCCTCTTTCACCCCATTTTACAGCAATAATTACGTAACGTAAACTTAATCTCTCAACTTAAAACAAAAAATTGGTAACCACGTATTCGCAGCGCACACCGCGCGAGCCTCCCGCCCGCCCCGGAAAAAAAGAAACTTTCTCGACACTTTTCCCCCCGCGCGAGGGGATAAAAAGTGATACGAACAGAAGCAACACGGCGCATGGCCGAACGAGAAAAGAATCTGTAGATCGAGCGACGATCGTTATCGACGCGTTCCAGGAGCGTCGAGAGAAGTCGGGGGTGATTCACGTTGATCTGGTTTGGTTTTAAATGTAACTTAATCGGTGAATCCGATTACGCTCTCTCGGCTCAATGCGAGATTCCGTGGCTCCGGAAGGCAGCGCTCGATCGCGACTATGTCAGCTCAGATCAGCGAGAAACATCGCCGAGAAGTGTGCTGAAGTCGTGTGACTTTTCGGGCCTTCGTGGCATTTCCGGCGCGCGAAAGAAGCTCGCCAAACGTGCACCGCGCCATCGGATGCGTTAACGCTACATCTTCTTTTTCTTCTTCTTCTCTTTGTCTTCTTTTTTTATTTTCGTTTTTGCTTTACTATAGATAGAGTTGGCTTTAGCTTTCGAAGAGTAATGTTAGTCGCATCGCGGGACCACGACGACGGGGATCGCTTAAGATCTAAACAAGTATTCCTTAATATTAGATATAACTATCTATTTATATGTATTTATATATATATTTTTTCTATATATATTTATATTGAAAAATGAGTGTACTCTCTCTTTCTCTCTCTCTCTTTCTCTCTCTCGTATCAATCTAGAGATAGATTATCGATTAGTTTGTAATTGCGTGTAACATAGACGCGTCCAGCGCATAGAAACATAAATAAATAAATATAAATGGATGTATTTACATATACTCGGGTAAAGGAGGGGGAGGGTATGTGATATTGTGGAAGGTCCGATGGATATATATTATATATATTCCTTTCTCTATTTCTTTTTCTTTTTCTCTCTCTATCTCTTTAAATATATATGTATGTATATATATATATATATATATATATAAATATAGATACGGAGTCTGTGAGGTAGAAGCGGTTTCGTATACTTATTAATATGTTGTATCATTATGTGTGCGTGTATGTGAGCGTTGGTGAAATCTGATCTATCTGTATTTTCCGAGTACTAGATAAACTTGCGTCCAACAACCAAAAAACTCGCATTTTTCCGCCGATATGGCATCGACCGGTGAAAATAAGAAAATGGACAGGAAAAAAAACGGTAAAAGAAGGAGAGAATTCTACTGACATCATCAACAGGTGATATGCCCTCGTGTCAATCGAGGCAAAACGGAAAGTAAAAGTCCTAATTTGCGTCTATGTTGAACGGAATTCTCTTTTATTAACATTATTTTTTTTAAAATAACCGCATTATGTCCTACGTATATATTAAAGGGAAAAAAAATCGTCATAAACTCGGTGGGATATGAGCGATATGCTGTATTGTACCGGCCAAACAGGAAACCGGCAAACAAAACGATCGATTGGCAACGTGCCGCTGCTACGAAAGGAAAATAAAATTTGTAATCACTGGATAATATATATTGGATAATAGCGAGATGAGAATTCGCGTAAAGAAAACTCGAAAGAAGCGCGTGGACTCGCTATATATGTGTGTTGATTCATGTTCATTATGGGTAATCGCGGTCGTGCGGGAAAATCGCGAGAGAGAAATCGGCGGCAAGTGTCCCGATGGTGATTTCCGGTGGCGAGCGATCGAGAATCTCGGAGAGAAGAGGTCTTTAACGAACGAACACCCCGACACAGTCCCTACTATACACCCGACTATTGCATCGCTTGATTCATTGATTTATGTTTATTAAGAACCTTATCGACTATTATACTTTGTAGTTTGTACTTGGTTTTCATATTCCTGAGAGAAAAGGACTCGCGACGTGCCGCGCCGCGCACCGTCTCGACTCGTTTTTTTTTTTTTTTTTTCAGAAGAGGAAGATGGCTTCGATTATCAACAGCCTCTCTTGTCTTATCTTTTCTTTATTTTTTTCTTCTTCTCTCGAATGGAAACGAACCGAAGGCGGCGACAGCGACGCAGCGCGACGCGACGGTCCTATCCGATCTTGCAAACTATCGTGTTATACACAGAGATATTTTTTTTTTTTTTCGTAAGCTTCATTCTGTGCGCACCCTGTATGTCGTGTGTGAGGTAGCATTTGTACTATGTATGTGACGAAGTATTGTGATCCGTTATTGCGGCGGCCGCGGGCAGTTATTCGAACGCGATCGGCGACGAGGCTCGCGGAGGTCCCGGTCCGGCCCCTGTGGCAGTGTTCTCGCCACGATGAGAGATCAGTCTTATTATTGATAAGATAAGGAACGGGATGCGCGAGATAGGGGAGGCGTGCGCGAGCGACGCGCCTCGGGAGTGGCGACACGGGGGGTTCTCCGGAGTCGCGGCGAGACGTGCGTTCAGCTCGACCGCGACGTTACGGACGGGCCCATGTCGATGAGGGCTATACAAGGATCATATCGGCAAAATCGTCATCGTGATCGCGTGATTGGGCTCCGTGAGCGGTGGCCGATCGTACGGAACGGTCCTCGACGACGAGCCCTCGTGACCGACGCGTTCGGCCGCGCGGCACGCTTGGTTTTCGCTCTCTCTTCTTCCCCTATGTATATGTACCTATACGATTTTCTTTCTTTTTTTTTTACAGTGTATAGTAAGTTTACAAAATTCACACATCCTGCCTGTCCTGTTTGTTTAACCCTTAAACATTACGTTTACTTTGTACTATAAGTCGCGGCCGGGAAAACGCGAGCCGCTCGTCCCCCGGACGTTCGAGGTCCCGCTCTGCGACATCGCTACGCCGTGCGTCTGTTTTCTTCCGTCCGTCTTCTTCATCTTCTTTAAATCTTCTCCACCCGTCTTCCTCTGCCGTATCTTCTTCTTGCTTTTTTTCTCTTTTTTTTTCTTTCTTTGCTCCGTACTCGACTTTTAAATATGCTTATGCGTGCGTGATACATGTACTATGTAATCAATTATCGACTACGGTATAGTATACCATTATATACTATACGAGCAAACGGTACAGTAGTTGCCAGTGCATTCTCTGCGCGCGGTGTTGGTGCAGTGATGACATCAATTTTGTTCTCTCATTCCCCTCCCGCGGGCAGCCGCGCGATTTTCCTTTTCCTCCGTCTATTCCGTATCTCGCTGCCCGCGCGATGTGAATGATAACGAAGGTATCCCATTGCGGAAAGCTCGTTCACACCGTGACAATCGTCCGCCTCGACGTGCTCGAAACGTGCAGCTTCGAAACATTACAGCCGAATCATTCTAGCATAATATTGTTAATTTAACGCAGACCAATGCAACTCTTAACATCACCAAATTGCTTGCCAAAAGTCGTGATTTCCATCATAGGATTTTTTCGCATTTTTCTCAATTTTGAAGGTACTGGTCGATTGGTCGGTATTGGTGGAATTTAGAAGCGAGCGTTCTGAAAAATGTAATATATCCGAATTTCTTGTTTTCTGATTTATCGCGCGTGAGTTTTCTTGCGCGATCGCGTTTGCCCCTCGAAAGCGTGCGCGCACGAGCGAGCCACGGTGTGAATCTCCCACGCCTCTCGTGTCAAGCCTTGTGTCACACACGACATCTATTAAAGGATTCTCAATCCGTAAAACACATATTATAGAAACAACATGCAACATTTTATCCTACGTCGTGATACAATAATGGTACATACATACGCGTACGTTTGCGCGCGTGCCACGCGCGCAACGCGTACGCGCGTCGCGCGAGTGTCGTGTACGTGTGTAGTTTATGTACTTTTGTCTGCTGTGTGTGTGTGTGTGTACGTGTATGGCGTGTACATATATATATATATAATATAGACCAAATATAATTCTTACGGATATATCGGCGGATCCGACGATCGCAGAAATTGGAGGACGAAAGCGCGCGTAATCGCTTCGCTCTTTCGACTTCCAATCGCGGATCTTTTGCGCGTACCTTGACGAAAATCGATCGTAACAGCGAATCTAGAGTATCACCCCTGAGTAAGGAGACTCTCGGGGCTGACGAGAACAAAACCGGCGAGAATCGAGAGTAAAAACGGTAAGAATATCGTAATTTCGTTCGAAAGCGCGTTCGAAGATCGTTCGATTACTTTTTTGAGCAAAGCGATACGACGAAACCAACAACGATTTAAAATCGATTTGAGTCAAATTGCCGATTTCCGGCAGTTCCGAATACACTTACGCGCGTGACCGACGTCACCATAATATACGATATTAATTAATTCTAAATTTTCATTTAAATTCTACGTCGTTTATCTTTAAGGTACGTGTTTTATCTTTTTTCTGTGTTTCTCTTTTCTTTTTTCTTGCAATTCGCTCCGACCGACATTGTCTCTCGCTCTTCCGATCTGCGTGTGTACGTGTGTGTTTCATGTGAGTGTTGGGTGTGAAATACCTTTACTACGTATGCACTCCTAATCCTTACGTATGACAAAACAATTAAACCCTGGGTTTAACCGCCTCCCCCCCGGAAATTCCACCGCCTGACGTTATTAACTCCTAATCCTTCAAATTTCACCGCTCCGATAACTCGATCCCTCTACTTAAACTTAACGCTAATTCATTGTACCACTTAAAGGTATCCTTTCCCCCCCTCCCGCCTTTGCCTCTGCTTAGCAGAACAGCCGAAAACAATATATATATTTTGTATATATATTAAGTAAAAGATTCACATTATATAACTTGGCATACGCGATCGTATCTATTTACACGAGCATGTGTCTGTGTGCTGTACACGTGTGTGTACGTGTCTTTCCGATAACTCTCCCCCTCTCTCTTCCCTTCCCTTTGTGTGTACATGTATGTACGTGTGTGCGCGTGTGTGTATGTTCCTATCATCACATACGTAAACGACACATAACATCTTTGAATATCCTTTTCCCGCGGCTTTTCCCCCGGGAATTAACTTCCCTATGACTATGTAATCTCCGTCGTCCAGCATCATCAATCCCATCCCCAATTAATTTCTCTTTGCACTCCCTCGAGACAATCGATGTCACTTACGTCTAAATAATTTTCGCTCTCCTCCACTACAATTTTTTCTTCCGCGTTCGTCAGCGCATCGGCGCTGATCTCGCCGATTTCTTCAGCGATCTATATACGCTTTTTTTTCTCATCACTCTCTCTCTCTC